TTCTCTCTCACTGTTTCTATCTCAATTTATTTCTTTCTGTTCTTGCTTTTGAACATTGACAGTCAGTACTGGTAAAGAACAGTAGAAAAATGTCACACTGTCACATCACAAAAGGAGAGTTTAAACAGAGGAAGTGTTTGTGAAGAAACTGCACTGGACCAAGGACACTCTGTTATAACAGGAGACATGAACAATAGCACATATGAACTAGGAGAATGTTCCTGTACAGACGTCCCCTCACACTCACCCTCTGAAGCATTCGCCAACAGTTTTTCAGTTCTCATCTTTTTGTTGCAAATCAAACTCGTGAACAACACAATGAACGCTCGGACTGATCACAGGCTCCTGAACATGTGCTCTGTAAATCCACTTTGTTATTTTGGTTTTGTTTCAGATAATCTTAAATAAAATTGTGTTTGATAATGTGTGCATTGTGTCACCATGGTAACTGATGAAAATTATGCCAATAGAGATACATGTAGAACACCCCCAGCATGATGTATCAACACTCTGCAGTGGGAGGAGCTCAAATGAATCTTATTCAGATGCAGATTTGTGTTGTAATACAGTGACTTCTTGGCTCTAGTCAGTCAATAGATCGATAGAAATGATCAGTTTCAGTATTTGTGCCAGAACGGGCCTGGTCAGTACTTGGATTGAGACACTGGGAATTCCAGGAGGAGTCATTGTGTCCTTAGGCAAGACACTTCACCTACATTGCCTAGTATGAAAGTGATGTGTGTGATGGTGGTGGTCAGAGGGGCCTATGGCACAGATTGGCAGCCTCGCTTCCGTCAGTCTGCCCCAGGGTAGCTGTAGTTACAGTAGTAGTTTACTACTGAGTGTTGAGTGAATGAACAATGAACTGTAAAGCGCTTTGGGGATCTTGAAAGGCGCTATATAAATGCATTAATTAATTAATTAATTCTTAATTTAGCAGTTGGAGATTTCATGTGACATTACCATGTGATCAACAGGGAAAACTGTCTCTGCCTCCATCTGAGAGTCTGACATCAGCACATTCTAAAATGTGAAAACCACCAGCACTGTGGTTGTTTTATTGAATGAACTGCTCAATCAGTTGCACATTTCCTTTTAAAACATTTCCTCTTGCTTCTAAAATTCCAGTTCCACCTGTACACACCCTCTGTGACGTACACACTTGGAGTTCAGCATGTGCTTCAGTTTCAGTTCACTTTCTTAATCGATGATGTGCAGGATTCAAAGGACATAAAATCTACTCCCCTCAACAGTGAACTGTTGTATCCAGGTGGTGAACACATTTTTAGTCGCTGGTGCCACACTTGGTATTCTCAGGACTCCCGTTCAAGTCCAGACCAGGCCCAGTCCTGCTCAGTGAAAGAGAGGAGATCCGGTCTGTCCATGAGCCTGAGCAGAGCAGGAGGAGCTGTCCACTGAGCTGTGGTGCTGATCTCTTCTGTCTGCACCGCTGCTTTCTTCACACAGTTGGTGCAGATCCATGCTTGCCTTGCTTGTTTTCAGTTTTTTCTTCTCTTACTTGTATTTTCTTTATTCAATATCTGTCATTTAATAATATCTGTATATATAATGATATAATTTATGTTTCTTTAAAGGTGCTGTACCTGGTTTTATTGTCTGTCCAAACATCCTGATTATTCACCATAATCAGTTTAGAATCACTTTGCACAACTCTCAGAGACCAGAGCAGAGCTTTGCATCACAGTAAAGCTAGCAACAACTAGCATACTAACACATACTTCCTGTGTGCCATCACCAGGAAATATAAGTTTAGGGCTGTTCATAGTAACAACACATTACCGTGGCAACCGGAGCAGCGTCATCCCTGCACCCCCAGAGCAGAGTATAGAAGAACACAGACACCAGCAGCGCCTGACCTTTAAACATGATTTTAATATGAAGAACAGGATCCACAAATGAACTTCAAACCCCAAAAAGTCCCCAAAATGTCCACTAGTGTCCCTCATGCTTCAGACAGAACCCACACACATATGCAGATCAACAGAGCAGACAAAGTCAGGCTCAGTCCGGGCTCAGTCCAGACTCAGTCCAGGCTCAGTCCAGGCAAAGCCGGCTTCACTGAGACAAGAAACATCTGTACACAAGGTAAAAGAACAGAATATTAAAGAGCGAGGATTTACTTCTGTGAGGTTTTATCTGTCACACATAACATATTTCAATTACATTTTAATTGTTTTGAAAATGTTATATTCACCCAAAACTTTCATGTTAACATGTTTATTAAGCTTCACTTTCATTTGACGCTCTGAGTCTCCCCTCCAACGCTAAGTCACTCCCCCTTCAGAGCACTGTCTGAACACACTCAGCATGTGTCCTGCTACTGAAGCTCCTGCACATCACATCAGGTTTGTCAGGCTGTTGTGTAACAGTATCGTATCATGTTTTTGTGTATTTATGTAGAATTGTCGTGTGGGAGCATGAGCGACATATGGAGCGTTTAATAGGACCCAGGAGAGATCACTAAATTACTCAACCATGCATAGATGCCTCTAAAACCTCTTCTGGTATGTTTTTGATGATGGAACATTATAATATGGGAGAAAACTCCTGTTTATTCTTTATCTGAATCTATCATGAAATATGACAACTGTGAATTTCATTTTCAAACACCTTTAGCCCGTCAGATAAGAAAAATAAATAAATAAAACAAATTATTTGAGTGCATTTTGACTTCTTAAACTAACTCTTAAACTAAGATTTGCCAAAAGAACAAGTACAGAATGTCTTTTGTTTTACTTTGAATAATAAAAAGTGGATTTTTTTTCTCACTGGAAACGAGGAGACAAAAGCTCCTGCCACTTGTACTAATGGCAAATCTTTTCAAATGAGTCAAAATGTAATCAAAGCAGACAAGTATAATCCAAGCACTTATTAACACTGTCATTTTTCCAGTGATGATGTTTCAAATTAAAGCTACAGTATGTCACTTTCTGTAAGTGTAAAATCAACCACATCAAAATAGAAAGTTAAAGCCATACTTCTGAACATTCTCCATGATGACAGATGTGTGTTATGTCACACTGTGGAATATTAAAGCCAAAGAAACATTTCCATGGAAACAGCACAAAAATAAATATCTTCCCTCTGTTCATCAGTCTCTATATCTTCCCTCTGTTCATCAGTCTCTATATCCTCCCTCTGTTCTCTCAGTCTCTATATCCTCCCTCTGTTCTCTCAGTCTCTATATCCTCCCTCTGTTCTCTCAGTCTCTATATCCTCCCTCTGTTCTCTCAGTCTCTATATCCTCCCTCTGTTCTCTCAGTCTCTATATCCTCCCTCTGTTCTCTCAGTCTCTATATCCTCCCTCTGTTCTCTCAGTCTCTATATCCTCCCTCTGTTCTCTCAGTCTCTATATCCTCCCTCTGTTCTCTGTCTCTTTATCCTCCCTCTGTTCTCTCAGTCTCTATATCCTCCCTCTGTTCTCTCAGTCTCTTTATCCTCCCTCTGTTCTCTCAGTCTCTATATCCTCCCTCTGTTCATCAGTCTCTATATCCTCCCTCTGTTCTCTCAGTCTCTATATCCTCCCTCTGTTCTCTCAGTCTCTATATCCTCCCTCTGTTCTCTCAGTCTCTTTATCCTCCCTCTGTTCTCTCAGTCTCTATATCCTCCCTTTGTTCTCTCAGTCTCTTTATCCTCCCTCTGTTCTCTCAGTCTCTTTATCCTCCCTCTGTTCTCTCAGTCTCTATATCCTCCCTCTGTTCATCAGTCTCTATATCCTCCCTCTGTTCACTCAGTCTCTATATCCTCCCTTTGTTCTCTCAGTCTCTTTATCCTCCCTCTGTTCTCTCAGTCTCTATATCCTCCCTCTGTCTTTCATGGAATGATCGAGCTTTATTATTTTATTGTTACACGTGTTACGATGTGTTTGAATTTAAGCTGAACTAAAGTTTTGCAACATTTTTTCAAAGACTAATAAATATTCAAATCAAATATTGTAGAATAGAACCTGTTTTTTCGCTAACTCGTGTGTAGAAGTAACATTTGCTCACTTCAAGGCAATCAGTTTCCATGGTTTTATCAAGAAAGATGAATTTCCTCTTCAAGTAAAAGTTACAATATGTTTCAGATTTGAGGAAGTGACTGATTCGTTGGCACAGCTTCACAACTTCAGTTCTATGAATGAAAACTCCATCCATCCATCCATCCATTTTCTTCTTCTTATCCAGGGCCGGGTCGTGGGGGCAACAGTCTAAGGAGGGACTCCCCGAGGTGTTCCCAGGCCAGCCTAGAGGCATAGTCCCTCCAGTGTGTCTTGGGTCTTCCCCGGGGCCTCCTCCCGGTGGGACATGCCCGGAACACCTCCTGAGGGAGACGTCCAGGAGGCATCAGAACAGATGTCCTCCCCTCAGCTGCTCTTCTCCATGTGGAGGAGCAGCGTCTCTACTCTGAGCTCCTCCCGTGTGACTGAGCTCCTCACTCTATCTCTAAGGGAGCGCCCAGACACCCTGCGAAGGAAACTCATTTGTGCCGCTTGTATCGGCGATCTTGTCCTTTCAGTTATTCCCCAGAGCTCATGACTATAGTTGAGGGGAGGAATATAGATTGACGGTAAATCTATAGCTTTGCCTTTGGGCTCAGTTCCCTGTTCACCACAACGGCCCGATACAGCGCCCACTCCACCTGTCAATCTCACGCTCCATCCTCCCCTCACTCCAGAACAAGACCCCGAGATACTCCTCCACTTGAGACAATGACTCCCCAGCCGCCTGGAGAGGGATCTAACTCCTTGAATGAAAACTAAAGTTCACTTCACTGCTCACTACACTGAGGAATACTTGTGAGCTCAGCTTTAGATTCACACTCCACTTTAGTCACATTTTTCAAGGCAATCGGTTTCCTAGATTTTTTCAAGTAAGGTATACTTATTAGATTTTCCAAGGTAGCAATTTCAAAACACTAAAAAGCAACATTGTGATGTAAACATGTGACGTGTTACAGTTAATTCTCCACAGAAGTCCAACAGCTCCTCTTTCATTGGTCTAACTGGTGACAGAGTTTTTTCTCCTGAGCGGCACAAACAGTTTCTGCGCACACAGTCTGAACTTGTGGTCTCTCACGCTGTAGATGATCACATTCCAACAGCTGTTCGACGCCAAAATCCAGAAGGAGAAAAACGAGAAGTTACACCATTTATTCCCCAGAACATTCCCCACCACGAAGACGGCGATGGGCGTGAACGAGGCCGTGAACGCCACCGTCAGAGCGCCGATGGTCTTCGCCGCCTTTATGTCCGAGAAGGTGGGTTTGCTGGAGCTCTGGCATTCCGATTCTGCCAGATGTTTCCTCCTCTTGGAATGCTGACGGATACTGGACAGAGAAATGATGTTGATGACGACGGTTCCTCCTAAAAGCGTGAAATCGAAGGTTGGAAAAAGCAAAAGTATGTTCCAAGCTTGAGACGGGAACTCTGTGATGGTCCCCAAAGCGTAGTTACACATCCGACTGCACGAATTATACTCCAGTGCAATGTCCCTGCTGAAAATCATCGGCAAAACAGCGAGGAAAAAACTCCCAATCCAAGAAAGCACGATCAAAATGGTGGTGCGTTTTCTGGTGATCACGGAGTCTTTGTGGAGAGGTCTCAAAACGGCGATGCTTCGCTCGATCGTTAACATGAAAATAGTCGTTATGGAAACAAACGTGCACCCGGCGAAGATAGGCCCGATGACGTTGCATGGGTGGAAGCTGACCAGTTGCGAGTTGAAAGTCGTCCACTGGGGGGCGGAGTCAGTCACCATGAGGGAAACTTCGGCATAAACGGATAAAGGGACGACAAAGATTCCCACGGCTAGATCGGCGACGGCGAGTGAGGCTTTGAGGTAGCCCTGCGGCGTGTGGAAGTGACGCGTGCCCAGAACCACGGCCAGGGTCACCACGTTACCGAACAGGATGGCCACGACCAGCAGGACCATGAAGATCACCATGACCACCTTGTTGACGGCGGTGCAGCAGCAGACGGTGCAGTGAGGCGCCTCCGCCGACTGCCACCAGGAGGCGGTGTTCAGCTCCAGCATGGTCCCGATGTGGGGGAACAGTCTTGGGTCTGGACCGGGTTTAGACCTGGTTTAGATCTGGTGCAGTACCATCTTGTCCTGGTTTAGTCCTGGTTTGAACTTTCTTCTTGGTTTAGTCCTGGTTTAGTTCTGGTTTGGCTCTGGTGTAGTCCTTGTTTAGATCTAGTTTAGTCCTGGCTTAGTCTTGGTTTAGTCTTAATTTAGTCTTGGTTTAGTCCTACATAATTCTTCATTTAGTCCAGTTTAATCTTGTTTTAGTCCTGTTTTAGTCCTGGTTTAGTCCTGGCTTAGTCCTGGCTTAGTCTTGGTTTAGTCTTAATTTAGTCTTGGTTTAGTCCTACATAATTCTTCATTTAGTCCAGTTTAATCTTGTTTTAGTCCTGTTTTAGTCCTGGTTTAGTCCTGGCTTAGTCCTGTCTTAGTCTTGGTTTAGTCCTGGTTTAGTTCAACTTTAGTCCTGGCTTAGTCTTGGGGTTTAGTCTTAATTTAGTCTTGGTTTAGTCCTGGTCTAATCCTGCTTTAGTCATGTTTTAGTGCTCTTTTAGTCATGGTTAGTCCTAGTTTAGTCTTGGTTCAGTCCTGGTTTAGTTCTGGTTTAGTTCTAGTTTAGTCCTGGCTTAGTCCTGGTTTATAACTGGTACATCTGTGGTGTGCGCCTTGATTGAAGACCTAGTTTAGTCTGAGTTTAGTCTTGGTTCGCAGCGGCTTTACTCCTAGTATCGTCTTGGCTTCTTCATTTAGTCCTGGTTTAGTCCTGGTTGAGATCTTGGTTCAATCCTGGTTGAGATCTTCACTGTTGGAGGACACATTGGGGTTCTGTGGTTGGTTTCATGTCGGAGATGATCTGACAAAAACAAATCAGAACACAGAAGATTCAAATCAGACAGATGATTATTATCTAATGCTTTGTGACGCATCATGACCTGCTCCACGGTCTCTGCTCCAGAACTGTCCCACAACATCCTCCTCTAGTCCTCCTCTAGTCCTGCTCTAGTCCTGCTCTAGTCCTCCTCTAGTCCTGCTCTAGTCCTGCTCTAGTCCTCCTCTAGTCCTCCTCTAGTCCTCTCTAGTCCTCCTCTAGTCCTGCTCTAGTCCTCCTCTAGTCCTGCTCTAGTCCTCCTCTAGTCCTCCTCTAGTCCTCTTCTAGTCCTCCTCTAGTCCTGCTCTAGTCCTGCTCTAGTCCTCCTCTAGTCCTGCTCTAGTCCTCCTCTAGTCCTCCTCTAGTCCTCTCTAGTCCTCCTCTAGTCCTCCTCTAGTCCTCCTCTAGTCCTGCTCTAGTCCTGCTCTAGTCCTCCTCTAGTCCTCCTCTAGTCCTGCTCTAGTCTCCTCTAGTCCTCTCTAGTCCTCTCTAGTCCTGCTCTAGTCCTCCTCTAGTCCTCCTCTAGTCCTCCTCTAGTCCTGCTCTAGCTCTAGTCCTCCTCTAGTCCTCCTCTAGTCCTGCTCTAGTCCTCCTCTAGTCCTCCTCTAGTCCTCCTCTAGTCCTGCTCTAGTCCTGCTCTAGTGCTTCTCTACTAGTCCTCCTCTAGTCCTCCTCTAGTCCTGCTCTAGTCCTCTCTAGCTCTAGTCCTGTCCTCTAGTCTCTAGTCTCCTCTAGTCCTCCTCTAGTCTGCCTAGTTCCTGCTCTAGTCCTCCTCTAGTCCTGCTCTAGTCCTCTAGTCCTCCTCTAGTCCTCCTCTAGTCCTCCTCTAGTCCTGCTCTAGTCCTGCTCTAGTGCTCCTCTAGTCCTCCTCTAGTCCTCCTCTAGTCCTGCTCTAGTCCTGCTCTAGTCCTCCTCTAGTCCTGCTCTAGTCCTCCTCTAGTCCTGCCCTAGTCCCTAGTCCTGCTCTAGTCCTCCTCTAGTCCTGCTCTAGTCCTCCTCTAGTCCTTCTCTAGTCCTGCTCTAGTCCTGCTCTAGTCCTCCTCTAGTCCTGCTCTAGTCCTGCTCTAGTCCTGGTCTAGTCCTGTTTAAGTCCTGTTTTAGTCGTTTTAGTCCTGGTTTAGTCCTGGTCTAGTCCTGATTCAGTCTTGTTTTAGTCTTGTTTTAGTACCGGTTTAGTCCCGGTTTAGTCTGGTTTAGTCTGGTTTAGTCCTGGTGTAGTCCTGGTTTAGTCTGGTTTAGTTTGGTTTAGTCTGGTTTAGTCCTGGTTTAGTCCTGGTTTGGTCTGGTTTAGTCCTGGCTTAATTCTGGTTTGGTCTGGTTTAGTCCTGGTTTAGTCTGGTTTAGTCCTGGTTTAGTCAGGTTTAGTCCTGGTTTAGTCTGGTTTAGTCCTGGTTTAGTCTGGTTTAGTCCTGGTTTAGTCTGGTTTATTCAGGTTTAGTCTGGTTTGGTTCAAATTAGTCTGGTTTAGTCTGGTTTGGTTCAGGTTTAGTCTGGTTTAGTCTGGTTTGGTTCAGGTTTAGTCTGGTTTAGTTTGGTTTAGTCTGGTTTGGTTCAGGTTTAGTCTGGTTTAGTCCTGGTTTAGTCTGGTTTAGTCTGGTTTAGTTTGGTTTGGTTCAGATTAGTCTGGTTTAGTCTGGTTTGGTTCACATTAGTCTGGTTTAGTCTGGTTTGGTTAAGATTAGTCTGGTTTAGTTTGGTTTGGTTCAGATTAGTCTGGTTTAGTCTGGTTTGGTTCACATTAGTCTGGTTTAGTCTGGTTTGGTTAAGATTAGTCTGGTTTAGTCTGGTTTGGTTCAGATTAGTCTGGTTTAGTCTGGTTTGGTTCAGGTTTAGTCTGGTTTAGTCCTGGTTTAGTCAGGTTTAGTCTGGTTTGGTTCAGGTTTAGTCTGGTTTGGTTCAGGTTTGGTTCTGGTTTAGTTTGGTTTAGTCTGGTTTAGTCTGGTTTAGTCCTGGTTTAGTCTGGTTTAGTCCTGGTTTAGTCTGGTTTAGTCCTGGTTTAGTCTGGTTTAGTTTGGTTTGGTTCAGATTAGTCTGGTTTAGTCTGGTTTGGTTCACATTAGTCTGGTTTAGTCTGATTTGGTTCAGATTAGTCTGGTTTAGTCTGGTTTGGTTCAGATTAGTCTGGTTTAGTCTGGTTTGGTTCAGATTAGTCTGGTTTAGTCTGGTTTGGTTCAGATTAGTCTGGTTTAGTCTGGTTTGGTTCAGATTAGTCTGGTTTGGTTCAGATTAGTCTGGTTTAGTCTGGTTTGGTTCAGATTAGTCTGGTTTAGTCTGGTTTAGTTCAGATTAGTGGTCTTTAATCCTTCGTCTGTCAGATTTGCTTTTAGCATTGCATCATGTTAGCATTAGCGTTAGCCTCTGGAGCTTGACCTCTGACCCCCCACGTGCTCACGTGCCTCTCTCTCTCTCTCTCTCTCTCTCTCTCTCTCTCTCTCTCTCTCTCTCTCTCTCTCATACCCACAATGCACCAGGACATGCAGCTGCAGTAGTAAACAAAGCCATCTGAGCATGAAGTCTAAACTACTACTACTACTATTATATCTACTACTACTACTACTACAACTACTACTACTATTACTACTATTACTATATCTACTACTACTACTACTACTACTACTACTACTGCTATTACTATATCTACTACTACTACTACTACTACTACTACTATTATATCTACTACTACTACTACTACAACTACTACTATATCTACTACTACTACTACTACAACTACTACTATATCTACTACTACTACTACTATTACTACTATTACTATATCTACTACTACCACTACTACTGCTACTACTACTACTACTACTACTGCTACTACTATATCTACTACTACTACTACTACTACTACTACTACTACTGCTACTACTATATATACTACTACTACTACTATTACTGCTATATCTACTACTACTACGACTACTACTATATCTACTACTACTACTACTACTACTACTGCTACTACTACTACTATATCTACTACTATTATATCTACTAGTACTACTACTACTACTACCACTACTACTACTACTATACTACTACTACTATATCTACTACTACTACTACTACTACTGCTGCTACTACTACTGTACTACTACTACCTCCCTCCTCCTCTCTCCTCCTCCTCTCTCCTCCTCTCTCCTCTCTCCTCGTCGTCTCTCCTCTTCTCTCTCTCTTCTCTCCTCCTCTCTCTTCCTCTCTCCTCTTTCTTTCTCCTCTCTCCTCCTCTCTCCTCCTTCTCTCTCCTCCTCTCTCCTCTCTCCTTGTCGTCTCTCCTCTCCCCTTCTCTCTCTCTCTTCTCTCCTCCTCTCTCTTCCTCTCTCCTCTTTCTTTCTCCTCTCTCCTCCTCCTCTCTCCTCTCTCCTCGTCGTCTCTCCTCTTCTCTCTCTCTTCTCTCCTCCTCTCTCTTCCTCTCTCCTCCTCTCTCCTTCTCTCCCCTCTCTCCTCTGTCCTCTCTCATCTCTCCTCTCCTCGTCTGTTGTATGAGAATAATTCCTTCCATCACAGAAACATAAATGTGTTTATGTCGCGTTTCTCTAAATCAAATATGCAAATGAGATGCAAATGAGAAGAGTCAGATCATTTACCAGTGTATTATTTGATCAAACTAAGAAGAAGAACTGCACTTTAGACGCTGTTGTTTCACTCCTGCTCTAGTCCCGCTTCACTTCTGCTTCAGTAGTCCTGGTTCGGTCCTGGTTCGGTCCTGGTTTGGTCCTGGTTTGGTCCTGGTTTGATCCTGGTTTGGTCCTGGTTTGGTCCTGGTTCGGTCCTGGTTCGGTCCTGGTTCGGTCCTGGTTTGGTCCTGGTTTGATCCTGGTTTGGTCCTGGTTTGGTCCTGGTTCGGTCCTGGTTTGGTCCTGGTTTGGTCCACAGCTGGTCGTCTTTGTTGGTGTGAATAAAACTGACTGAAGTGACAAAAGAGAAAGAGAGAAAAAAGTGTTTTTTCTGAATTTGTGTAAAGAACCAAACATTCCTCATTTTGAATTAGAATTTTTTGAATTTTTGAGGTTGAAGGTCATTTTTGTAACAGAGCCAGAGAACAGACAGGAGCAGACAGGAGCAGACAGGAGCAGACAGGGGCAGACAGGAGCAGACAGGAGCAGACAGGAGCAGACAGGAGCAGACAGGAGCA